AATATTTAATTTTGTTTTTCATTTAATATTTCTTTATTAATTACTTTAATTGGTTATGTATATTGTTCATTTAATATTTAATTACTTTATTTAATTATTTATTTAATCACTTATTTAAATAAAAATTTAATATTTATTTTATTTCTTATTTAAATATTTTATTAATTAATTATGTATATTCTTTATTTAATATTTAACTACTTTGTTTATTTATTTATTTAATCACTTAATTAAAAAAATTAATATTTAATTTAATTTCTTATTTAGATATTTCAGTAATTAATTATCTAAATTGTTTATGTATATTATTAGTAATTAATATTTAATTACTTTATTTTAATTACTTATTTAAATAAAAACATTATATCATAATGTACAAGTGGTACAACATTACTGGAAAGTTAAAAAATAGTTTTTTCGATCCTCCACTCATGGAATTCCATATGTATGTTATGGACATTCTTATGAATTAGTACATGTAGAATTATCCAATGTTTAATTTGATTTCTCGTTTAAATATTTTTTTATTAATTACCTTAATTGGTTATGTATATTTAATTATTTATTTTAAACGCTTACTCAAATAACAAAATTAATATTTAATTAAATTTCTTCTTTAAATATTTCATTAATTAATTATCTTAATTTGTTATGTATATTGTTTATTTAATATTTCATTACTTCATTTAATTAATCACTTATTCGAATAGAAAATTAATATTTAATTTAATTTATTCTTTAAATATCTCATTAATTAATTATCTTGATTGGTTATTTATATTATTTATTTAATATTTAATTAGAACATAAATCACACGGTGTATGAGAATATATAATCGAGATGGGAGCCGAACTTTAGGCATGGTCACATTTTCAATACATCGAACATTATTTAAGAATGTTGAAACTATATTTCCTCTACCAAATAAAGTCGAGTGGGAAGTTCCCGATTATAGTGTGTTATTCTCTATCCAACGGATGTGTGATATCTATTTACATCGTATGTACTATCTATTTATAGTATGTTATTGATTTCCTCAATTTTCTCTATTTATAGTGTGTTATTGATTATATGAAAATTGACCCAACGAATATGTAATATCTACTTAAATCGTATGTACTCTCTATTTATAGTATGTTACCGATTTTCTCAATTTTCTTTATTTATAGTGTGTTATATATATAATTAAGAGTAATTAGTTATTTATTATACATAAGAACTAAAGTATTACAAACGTTTTAAAAAATGCTTACATTTTAAATTATTACAACTACGGATCACAATATACATAAAAGAACGCTTACATTTTAATGTGTGTTTGGTTTATCAGCTCTACGCCACATCCGATGCTAAAATTTCAATGTACTTCAATTAGAACTGTCAATGGATTGGATTTTGATCTGAATCCGATGAAATTAATGGGAGATGGATTTAGGGTCTCAATCCGATAATTCAATCGAGATTCAAATTCGATAATTCGTTAACTAAATGAATCAATAGATTGGATTTTGATCCGAATCCGATGAAATTAATGGGAGATGGATTTAGGATTTTAATCCGATAACCCAATCGAGATTCGAATCCGATAATCCTTTAATTAAATGAATCAAATATGGATATAGGTCAATCCGATATGATATCACTAAAACATTTCAAAATGAGTCTCCTTTAAAAAGGAGTTAGAGGAGCATATAAAAAAAAAAAGAAAAAGGATTTTGGCCTTCTAATATAATAAGTGAGCCCATCAAGATAGTTCAAATATTTTTAAAATAAATAAATAATTAAATCTTGTTGAGGCTATGATTTTCAAAGAAAAAATAAATAAAATCTTTATTTTTTCTAATTTTTTCAATTTCGGATCGGATTATCTCCTCGAATATGACTCTGACCCTCCTCCTCGATCAACGATGTCAGCTCAGCGAGCACTTCAAGCTGACATATTAACATTTCAGCAAGTTAATGGCCATGCATCGAGATTTCGAAATGACGTACAACATAAATTACAAATGAATAATACGTACCTCAGGATCGTCGAGGAGAGCTGATAATTGTTAGCTTTGTCTCCATAGATAGTTGTATGTATGTGTCAATGTCATCAACAACCTCCAAATGAAAGACGTCGATCGACATCTTCTTGTGATGACACCTCAGTATGCTCTCTAGTATAAACACTATCCCCAACTTCAACTTGTCAGACATATTATCGCATTCTTTGAATGCGTCTTCTAACTGTACCAGAGTTACTGTCATAAGCAAGATCGGCGTAACAGGTCTGTGTGCTCTTCATCCAACAAATTTAAAACTAATGCGAAGCTAGCAAAGTTATAGTTCGACGTAACTTTGTCGGGAATCTGTTTCATGGCGGCGTCCAACTGGTAATTCATCTTGTAAAATTTAAAATATTTGGACCTTGTGTAAGAGACAATGGATAAAGCATAATATTTGAAAATTAAATTGTTTATTTACTTATTTAAATTGTTTATTGAATATTTAATTGTTAATTATTTATTTGAATTATTTATTTACTTATTTAAACTGTTTATTGAATATTTAATTGTTAATTATTTATTTAAATTATTTATTCAATATTTAAATGTGTATTTAAATTATTTATTTTAATTGTTTAGATGTTTAATATTTATTTTAATTGTTAATTGAATGTTTAATTGTTTGTTTTAAATGTTAATTATTTATTTCAATTGTTTATTTAATACTTAATTACCTTTTTCGATTATTTATATTTATGATTCATTTAAATTATTTATTTAATACTTAAATGTTAAATATTTATTTCAATTGTTTATTTAAATATTTAATAACTTTTAAATTACTTTTTTTATTTTTTATATTTATTGTTCATTTAAATTATTTATTTAATATTTAAATGCTAATTATTTATTTCAATGGTTTTTTGGATTTTTATTTAATATTTAATTACTTATTTTTATTATTTATATTCATGGTTCATTTAAATTATTTATTTAATACTTAAATGTTAATTATTTATTTCAATTATTTATTTGAATTGTTTATTTAATATTTAATTAATTATTTAAACTATTTTTTATTTTATTTTATTTATTTGTTATTTAGTTAATTAATTATTCTTATTGCCTAATTAATATTTAAGTTACTTGTTTATTGAATTTATTTCAATTAGTTTATTATTTCAATTAGTTTATTATTTCAATTAGTTTATTATTTCAATTAGTTATTTATTATTTATTTAAATAAACAATATACATAAATAATTAACACAATTCATGAAATATTTAAATAGTCAAATAAAGTATAAAATAAATAATTATATACTAAAAAAATAATATACATAAACAATTAAATTAATTACTTAAGTATTTAAATAAACAATTAAATTAAATATTGATTTTTTAAAATATTTATTAAATATTTAATTTAATTTTTTTATTTAAATATCTCATTAATTATTTTAATTGGTTATGTATATTGTTTGTTTAATATTTAATTAATTATTTTAGTTGTTTATTTCATATTTATTCACTTCATTTAATTATTTATATTAATTTCTCATTTATTTTAATTGTTTATTGAATATTCAATTGTTTATTATATTTATTTCATTATTTATATTTTAAATGAAATGAAATTAAAAAAAATTAATTATTTTACTTAAATAAACAATTTACATAATTCATGAAATATTTATAAATAATTAAATTCAATAAAAAAAGGATGGCACAATAATCCAGATGGCCCAACTGTCTGGGTAGCCTAGATCCAGAAGGCCCAGACGGCTCTGGGCCGTATGGATCGACGTCGCCGTCTGATTCGTCTGAAAACTCCATTTACGGCGAGCTCCGTTCCATTTTTTTCATTTTTCTTAATCAATTCAACCTCAAATTTGACTTTTCCTTTTATTTTAACTATAAAAATTTGCATTAAACTCATAAATCTTAAATATTCAAATTTTTATGTATTAAACTCAAATATTCAAATTCCCACATGTGCTAGACCTCAATGATGAGTAAATTTCAAAGAAACAAATCTAATCTTTGAGAAATGACGATCTCCGGCAATGGTCGAAGTGGGTCCGGTCTGAGCGGTCCATAGGTGACGTCGATGATGAGATTTTTCTTTTTCTTCCTTAGTTTTCTCTTTCTTTCCTCTTCCCTTCTCTTTATTTGGGGGTATTTTCGACTCTTTGGGTATTGTTTACATTTTCATTTTTTTTTAATTTAATAGCAATTTTTCGGGTCAAAGGCCATTTTTCCAAAATGGTCAAGTCTGGCAGTCATCTGCCACCATTTTCTCCGTCCAGATGTAGGGAAGTGGCGATGGGGTTTTTTAATTTGTCTTTTCTCTTATTTTCACTTTTTTGCTTATATTTTGTATTTTCTTTTCATTTTGCCTTTCTTTGATTTTTGTTGTGTTAAGATCTTTTTTCTTCAAATTTAATAGATTTTTGGATGGAAACTATTAAAAAAAAGATCAAATTTGTTAATTCATCAAAGATTGTAGACAAAAACTAGAGGAAAAAGGACAAAGCCATGAGTACAAGGCTTTTTTCACAGGGTCTTACTGACTCCTCACATGGGATTGGCCTCATGCAAGCCCCAATGCAATAAAAATGAAAAAAAAAATAAAATCTCAGCCTTACCCTATCTAAGACCCCCTGTAAAGGGTTTGTACACCCAACACTGTTCGAGGAAAAAGTGTTTAGGATAGTTGCAACTTTGGGAAAACGTTAGCGATGATATTTGCAATTTAGTCTCTGTTTGATTCCCATTCTTTTTTCATTAAAATAAAAAATATGACCGTTATTTACCATATCAAGTCACCAAATTTGAATTTATATCTCTTATGTGGGGCCTGTAACGATTATATTTTTTATTCTTATTTTTCAAAAAATAAGAAACAAACGGGGCTTAACCTAAAAATAAAAAATAAAAATAAAAAATGAAAAAATTAAAGAAAACGCGTTTCCCTTTCTTGAACCTGTACCCATACCTAATGTTCGGAGTCAGGAATCAAGTAAAGCAAAAACACCAACGGGTCGGCAATCTGGTCACTCCCCCAATTTCTCAATGCTCCAAGTTTCTCTCTCTAACCGTTCTCTCTATCTGAAACTAACAAACTGGAAAAAATGCTGAAGAAAAAGCCATCTACCGTGACCCCATCACCACCACTTTCATTGTCTCCACCGCCATCACCCTACCAAAACGATGCCGTTTCCGAGGATGCTTTTGCTATGATGGGCCCCCTGTTTCCCTCAGATCTGATCACGAGCATACTCTCGAGGCTCCCAGTAAAATCTTTGGGTAAGTTCAAGTGCGTTTCGAGGCAATGGCTTGAAACAATCACCGACCCATACTTTGTTTCCACGCACAGAACCTTTTCTTTAAACAACCCTAATCTGCTCTTACTCAAAAAGACACCGGTTTTACAAGAAGCTCACAAGAAGAAATGCACAAGAATTGATGTCTGTTCTTTAAATTTTGATGGGTCTTCTAAGAATCTTGATTTCTCTTTGTATTTGAATGATGATGCTGAGTGCATTGAGATGTTGCCTTCCAAGTGGGATATAATTTGCTTTGTGAGTGAAAATGGGTTTTATGTTTGCAATCCTAGTACCCAAGAAATGGTGAAATTGCCGGAGGCTAGTTGTTGTACCTCCGGGGAGGTGAATGCCGGGATGGGGTACCTGAAGCAGAGGGATGAGTATGTTTTGGTGCATTTGTTTGATAAGAGCTTGGATATGCATGTGGATAATTACATAGGGTGTGAGGTGTTGAGGTTGAGCGACGGGAAGGAATGCAAGTGGAAGATGGTGGAGGCCAATTGCCCCTTCACGGTTCGGGGGTGGGGTGTTTTGGTGAACAATGTGTTCTATTGGATGTTTTGGGATGTCTATACTCATCCGAGTGATGATGCTATAATTTCATTTGATCTTGAGAAGGAGGAGTTTGGAACTGTTTTACCACCTGAGGGTTGTTTTGATCCGCATGGACTGTGGTCCTTGGTGGAATTAGGGGGGAATCTGTGCTTAGTGGACAATGCAACTCGACCTTTTACCATGGATATATGGGTGATGAAAGATTATAACAATCAGAAGTGGGTTCGGGAATATAGTATTGATTTAAATGGATATAGCAATGATATGCTCAAGTTCATTATTCCATTAGAATTCCGGGATGGGAAAATATTGATGGATGCAAAGCAAGAGAGTCTTGACTGTTATGATGTGGAGAACAAGTGCGTCAAAAGAATGGACCATCTGATTTCTGGAGAATGGACTTGGCTGAGGCTTTACAATGAGAGCTTCTTTTCCTTGGGAAGTTGATAAATACATGTTCTTGATGCCAAATTTTTGGGCATTTCATGTTTCTTCTATTATATTTGTTGTTTTTTGGCTCTAATTTGTTGTCTGGGCTGCATTTGATTTTAGATTTCAGGATTTTTTTTTTAAAATCTTAAAACGTAAACCACTAGTTAACTAGTTTTTCTAGTTCACGTTTTGAAGATAGTTCCTCAGACCAATTGTTAGTTCCTCAGACCGATTGTTTTTATGGTCTTTGGATATTATTCAATACTCTACTTAATTTAGCTGTGAAATGATGTCAGAAATGACCTTGTGTTTGAATTAATGATTTGGTTTTGATATAATCTCCATCACAATTGAACTCACGATTTTTAGTTTGGCTAAATTTTACTCAGCTTGTGATATGTATTTTTATGAAAGCATAATTATTCGTGATTAGTCGACAAGGTGATACTGAAACACTGTAGTTCCTTTTTTTTTTTGTCTTCATGTCTACTTTGAAAGAACTGAAAGCGCTTGAGCTGCATTCATAGTTCTTTTTAGTAGTAGTTTCTGAGTTTTAGGGTTTCCTTGTATTCTTTACTTTAAGATTCACAATTTTTTCTTATCATGAATGAGCTTTGAAGACATCCAAGATGGTGTATCTTGTATATGCTATTCCTTGATGTTATAGTATGAGTCGATCATGTTTTTGGTACATGGTAACTCATTGATGACATTGCCGAGTTGATGATGGTGGAGAGAAATCAAACTCTGTGGTGTTTATATTTAATTATTAATAGAGATGGATTGTTTGAAAAGGATCTAATGTACAGTGACTTTAACCTCCTGGGAGATATCTATAAAGTCAAGTTCTACAGACCAATTATGCTTTGTCGTACTGAGAATTGGACCATGAAAGATGGACGCTCCATATGGTGAGTGCAATGGAAATGGAAATATGTGAAAATGGTCATAGTTGAATGGAAAAATGAGAAATGGGATATACACCTAAAAATGGATTATGTGGTTGAAACAGTTTTTGTGTTGACCTAAAGAGGCTTCTATTTGCAAGAGAGATATGATCTCAACACAATATTATAGAAAGGGGAGAGGTTTACCTTTCTAACTTATTGAGAGATTTCAGCACCATTGAGAAATCTATAAATAGTGGATTTAAGTGGTAGAAGTGCTGGTTGATTGCCCAAGTAATGTCCATTCTGTTGACATGGCTTCTTTCCTTCCAATGAGTCAGTGTGAGGCCACTAGCTTAGACTTGACAGAAGAATCAAGCAAGAGAAGATGGTGGAACAAGCTGAACCAATATGCCATAACATGGCTTGATGTGGTTGTAATGGGTTTTGTTTAATTGAATCTTGCGGCAGATGTAACAATACATCTAAAGGAGGGATAAAAATAAAAAAATAAAAAAAATACTTATAGTTGATATTTTAGTGGTTGCAGTGCCGGTTGACAATGCCTAAGGCCTTGTCAGGGATTTCCTTTTAGAGCCCCAACTTCCACTTGTCAAATAAGCAAAGCTGTTTTAAGTGCTTGGTAATAACTGCATATTGAAGAAACTGTAGCATCTGATAGCACAATCTGAGAACCAGCAAAAGAGAAGCTTCTTGAATTCTGCTTTTAACCTTTTCAATTAAAATGTTGATTTTAAACCCCCTTGGAATGTGAGAAGTCCATATTTCTCACCCTCCTAAATTTCAATCTCCTAATTATCTAAAACTCTTGCACGATTTCTCTCTCTTCCTTGCAGGATTCTTCATTCTTTCAATTAGAGTCCTTCATGATTCATCTTCAAGGTAATTCCCTCTCTCCTTATAAAACTTTTTAACTTTCATTCCCCATTCCTAACAACAAATTGTAATCGACATTCTAAGTTTCAACTCATCATGCATATTTAAAGAATGAAAGCATGCTAGTCTTTTTTGTTTTCCAAAATTGAGGTAAGCCTTTATGTTCCATTCTTATTGGAGTTGAATAGCTTCTTGCAAGCATATGCAAACAATTAATTCCTAAGATGAAAGTTATGAATATAAATAGATGTATTACCTAAAAAGGTATACGTCATTATAAATTATAATGAATGGCCAACTTAGTAATTGTATGCACGCCACGGGGAAAAAAAAAAAAAAAACTTTTGTTTACAAAATGCTCAAACATTGATTTTGAGATATGCAGCAATTATGAAAGAAAAGTTTACCAAACATCTCAATTATTCTTCTTAAAACTGACCTTTTTCAGCACAGTTAAAATTGATTCTCTTAAAACTTAAAAGCACACCAATACCAAACTAGCCTAAGTAATGTCCCCATTCTGTTTACATGACTTATCTCCATCCATTGAGTCAGTATGAGGTCACTAGACATAGACTTCAGAGAAGAATCAAGTGAGAGAAGATGGTGGAATAAGCTGATCCGACATGCAATGTTACATGGCTTGATGTGGTTGCAAAGGTTTAGTTTTCGGAAGGACAGAATTAAACTCGTGTAGTTGACTACAAATTTATTGTAACAAGTTTTACTTTGTTGTTTTATTATTCTATTTCCTTAACAGTGTTAGAGTATTATTCAGAATTTGGCATTTTTTACTTTTGAAAAGGAGCCCTTGGGGGTTGCTTATAAGAATGCTTATTGATTCCTGAGGAAGTGACAGTCGATCAAAGAAGCTTCTATGTGGCAAAATAATATGAAAGAAATATTGCATCTACATTGGAGAATGAATAACTAGTATGACTTACCTTTCTTGGAAAAACTGTTATAGCATTAAACGTGTTGGTGAATTTATGAAACACTGATTTTACCTTTTTTAGGTGCTGCCCACGGAAACTAGCAACTAGGGAATGGAAGCTTGTAATTAGTCTGCAGAAGCTTTAAAATAACAAAAATGTTTTCGTTGTGGGAGTAGGAAACTACTTGGAGCCTCAACTCAGAAGTTGTTTTTTAGCATGGAGGATTATAATCCATTTCTGAGGAAAATGATTGGTATTCTACGGTAAATCCACACATGGCTTTTAATAAAAGGGAAGTAAAACCGAACAATTCGTGGGCAAGGACTAATAGTCTAGAAGCTTCTTACTTCTTCTGGATGATATTTCTTCTAGGGAAACTCTGTGTAAAACACTCATGCATCTTACCTCAGACAGTGATTTTCTCATCTATCTTATTTGCATTTGGGAAAACTCAATGTCCATCCTTATTCTGGGCCTTTTGGCAGTATGGCATTTTGTTAGTTTGCTGCCTTTTACCATTATTTGCCAAGCCAGCATCGCATGGCTTCCACTCCATCATACTTCTGCTAGATACTGTTACTGATCAAGTAGGACACTGGTTCAACATCGTGATTAACGAAACAAAAGGCCCTTTGAAGAGCGGCACGGGGGCACTAACATCATTATTTTACCAGATGAATTTGAGGACAGCATCTCTTAGAAGTAACTTACCTTACACCCCCACCCATGGTGATAGATGATGACAAAGAAATTCACATTTGGGGAAATTACATCTTTTTTTTTCAGATTTTTTCCTAAGAAATCTGAACCAAAGGATTTTTTCAATTGAACAAAGTCACGGAGCTGTATAGTTGTTGGATTTTTAACAAACTACCATTTTATGTCACTGTCTGTTATTCTGCGATCTCACGTTTATTAATATATTCTTTCCAAAAATTTTGTTGAAGAATCTGGAGTATTTGGAAGCCTTTGTTTGGTATGGTGAAAATTGAGAAAATGACTGCAAATCAATACCTCAAAATAAAATGGGAGTGGTGCGTGCTGAGGTTAGTTGGGTTCCCTTGAATGCCCATTCATATGATATGAGGCACCAGTTCCCTCCACGGCTAAGGATAGAAGTCTAAGGCAGGCATCCCAAAACTTGGCTTATAATGACGAATATGAATAGATTGCTCTTTTCTCTTTCACACATGACCCTGCCTGCTCTCCTTGTTTTTCATTAATTAGAGGTCATACCAATGCCCCGCCCACGTGAGTTGTGCTGCACTTATTTTACTATGAATTATATGTGCCACCACCACGAGTGGTTTAAAAAAAAAATTGGTCATAGGAGGTTAGCATGATTTAGTTTGTGTTAGGTCTCAGAAGTTAAGGCACTACTTCATCTCTCCGTTTTGGCAAAGTAGGGTTTGAGGTTATTTGACTGCAGGCTCCGCTGCTGCTCACTTTTGCAATGAATATTTAATGATGAATACAAGGCTCTTAGAATACATTACTATGAAGTGTTTATGTTTTTCTTTTGATGCCTTTATGGACGCAGTGAAGCTAATATCCGTCGATCATAGAGATTTTATGTATTCTGTTTTACTCTTTTCAATAATATTCTTCTTGTAGCATGTAGGTGAGGTTGATGTAATTTGGTCACTTGTGCCAGAGTTTTGGGTATTAACTGATCATTCTTTTGCTGAATGTCTGCTCATTTGAATATTTGTTTGAAAGCATGACGTAAACAACAAGGTGGATACACCATTTTGTAAACAACAAGGTGGATACATGTAATTTGGTCACCATTTTGTTACCAAAAACATGTAATTATTGTGATTGTTCATGTTAAATAAAGAGAGGAGGTCTAGTACGTTGTAAGAATAGTAAGGGAGATGGTTCTGTTTAGTTCACAAAAATACGAAATGATGATTTCCTCCTTTTAAATCGCTTGAGTTGCCTAAACAACCGGAATGCTATGGTTTTGGGGTTGTAAAGAATAATATTTGCTCAAAACAGTAACAATTAGCGTCAATTGGATCTGAGAATGAACTGCTAACATGAATCGCTTATTTCATTTTAGGATCCTAATGTGAATGCTTTATCTATTTCGTGTCAATATATATCCAATGAGATTGTCGTTATTCTGTTTAACATTTTTCTCGTTGAAAATTGATTTTAGGATATACAGTGCAAAAGAGTAGCACGGATTGAGGTCTAAACCAATTTCTCTCTCCCACCCTAATATAGCAACATTTTTCTGATGATATAAAGTAATATTTGCTCTGAAGCTATGTTGACAGAGACATTCTTTGAACCATATTTGAAGGTTCATGCAACGACTATAATACAATGCAGAGGCTTTTCCAATAATGGGTTCCATTGCATGAGTTTAAAGTAGTCATGTTGAATCTTTTATATCTTTTCTGTAGTTGTTAATTTTGCTGAACCATCAGTTAGCTCTATTGTATTTGTCGCTGCCGATTTACTTCCTTTTTGGGGTAGTCTGGCATGTAGGTTCTTGAAAGCGATAGGAAACAGAAATTGTTTCAATCATGTTAAATTTGATATTTAAATTCTGATAAGTATTATTATTATAGTTTTATTGCCCTATTGGCCAAACAGCATCCTCATTTTGTTGACTTGATTCTTTCTGAACTTATTGGCTAGAATTGTAT